CGAACGCAAAAAAAGAATTTTATCTTTAGATTTGCCTAAATAATCATTTATTCCGTCATGATGTCTGTATCGAATAAAAAGAATGTAGCCCATTTACGGCTACATTCGTTGGGATAAAAGTTGAGTAGTTGTTGTTTCATCGTGCGCATTTTTATTTAGTTTTAGCATGAAGCACAGTTTATTATCATTTCAATGACCAGTTGAAGAGATTTGTATTCATATCTCACCAGAATAAAGCGTCTGATTCGCGATGTTCTACAGCGTTCAAATCGACGAAAACGGACTGAACTTTCGTTCGTCATGCCATTTGGTGAACATCATGCGAGTCTGAACGCATTCTTGCAGAAGCATCACGCTAACACTATATCAAAATTCACACGTGAAGTGCATTCAACCTATTCCGTTTGCACAATTGTATGAATAAAGCTTACTCCCATCCAGGCTGAAGTGGACTGCAGTTTTGACATCGCCTGAGCTGGTCTCACCAACACCTCCGGCGGGACTCGGACCATGACAATGCATAGTCTAATCTCGACACAATAGCCACCAAATCACAATGGCACAAGTGGTCTCGAATGATAGAGCAGACGTGAGTTTCACCACATTGTGTGGTGGGATTGTCGATGAAGCAAAGTTGTCTTACGGCATTAATAGTTTTCTGTTTTTAAGCCGCTTCACCCGATTGGGTGAATACCAACCCACTCGATTGCCATAGCATGCACAAGTCTGCTGTATCTACAATCCCACCACAGCATGTGACATGCCAAAATGTCTGCACATCTTCTTCGTCGGTCAACGGCATTCATGCCAGTCAGGTGATGTGTCGCAGGCAGCCTGAATCGGGTTCGAGTCCCGCGACGTCAAAACCCCAGCCCATTGCGGCTGAGATGAGAATGACTTTTGTGAAATGCAATGAAAGATGTGCTTTGCTGAACATTTGTCCGGCACTGTGCCAAGACGCTGGTCGAATGTGGAAGGGTCAGGCAAGACCGGTACCAACGGCCGGTGCGTCTGTGGATGCGGCCGATGTGTGGAAGCGAACGGAAACGATGTTTTTTGTCGTAAAATCTAGTTTTTCGCCGAGTAACACGTCTAAAATGTGGATGCATGTGAGGGTTGCATTTGTTCGAGTGATTTGCAAAAAAATCGCCTACTCCAGCCGAAAGGGATGCAGAAACCGGGTTTCAATTGGCAGCACATTCTGCCAGACAAAAAGTACAAATGCGCAGTCTCCATTGTGAAAATGAACTTTTTCCGTATCAAAACCACAACACACATCCGGTCGGAGGCATAGCCGCAACTACTCTTTCTCACCCGACCCTTCTTTGCTCCATCCGGTCCGGCTAGCAACTTCTCCAGCAGGTCTCGACTCGTCAAAAAGGGCAAGTGCACGAGATCACCTTCGAGTCGGCGATGCCGAGCCGAGGAGGTCAGTCGTCCAGACTGTCGATGCTCTGAGAAAAGCTGCTTACAATCTCCGACAACTGCATGGATCTTCTGTAAGTCAACAAGTTCGTTCGATTGTTCGCCTGTATGGTACATATTCACCTCAATTCGTTTAAGCCGATACGATGATTGCCAGTTGCATTTTTCCCCATTCACACAAAGACACTTTGCGTTTCTCTTCAATGCCCTATTTCACCTTGCTTCCCTAAGACCTAATCTCGTCCCGGCTCGAGTAGACTGCAGTTTTCAACTTGCCTCGACTGGTCGCAACGGCACCCCCAGCGGGACTTGAACCCGAGCCCCAATTCTCGATACGTCAACCAGTGCTGTTGGGTCGCAAAGGGCCAGGCATTTCTCATATCACATTTTCTGGTGTGATTGTCGATAAAGCAAAGTTGCATTTTGCTACAGAAATCGACTAAATTATGTATTTTTAGTTTTTTATACTACCTGTATGACAGATGTATGATATGAAATTATATATATATATATATATATAATAAATAAAAATAAATAATTTAGTCGATTTCCCCTTTCATATGGGAAAATGCATGGCCTTCATTGAAATTCGCGTCTTTCCCTGGCGTAGCGGTTAACAGACAGGTTCGAGTCTCGCTGGAGGTAAGGTAAGGTCGAAAGTACAGTTCATACCCACCCGAATGTGAATGCCTTGTGGGAAGCAAGGTTATGTGAAACTCAATGGAAATGTAAGATCGAGTCATTTGTCTGCGGAAAAATTCATTTACCAGTCGTCTTGTCACCGTCAACGAAAAAGGGTGAATATATCCCATATCACCTTTTATCACATACATGAGTCGTTTCCCCCCTGTCTCCTTTAAGGTGATGAAGTAATGGCAACTGGAGTTTGCTACAATAATATGCGTAGAGGTGATTGTCTCGAAAACCTCCCGACTAACACAGCAAATATAAGTTTGCTTCATCGACAATCGCAACGTAGAATGTTATATGAA